CTACCGCACGACAACGGTTCTACTTTCTACTGCACCATGCGTGATCTGTAACATGAGCTTCTAAATACTACAGTTTGGGGCTTATCACGATGATCCAAATACTGTGAACTCTGCCCAACTTCTTTAGCGGACCTGAATCGTCCGAGCAAATCCGCTCATTTTTGTGAATGCCATGTTTACTTTTTAACAATTTTCAGACTCGCAGTGGAGAAGCTAGCTCGATGGACAAGCCAACTCTAACCAAAACGGTTTGCTGTTTTTTCGCTACGTTGAATGGGAGACAGTAGGGCTCCAGATTAAAACCGCGGGTTTTGTCTCACTCGCGATACTGCATTTGATTTCTGATCATTGCGTCGTCTTTACGATTGCAGCAGCCACAAAATTATAACAGCAGCAGCAGTAGCAGTAACAGTAGCAGTGGCAGTAGTAATAGTATTGGTAGCAGTAGTCGTAGTAATAGCAGCAACATCCAGGCGGGAGCGCCCCAGTAGAAAACTCCAGTCAGTCGGGTAGCTCATCTCCTAATTTAAGCTTTCTGAAATTTTGTTGTATTATTAACTGCAGTTGTATTAACGAATATGAATGCTTGCTCTGAAAAATGTATGCTTTCCGGTCACTAGTTTTTCGGCAATCAAACAGTAAAACGCCTTGTAAGAGCGGTTATTTCAGACTCCGTCATCGAAAGAGGAACTGAGTCCAGTGCCAGGGAGCGGTGAGGTGGAGGAGGCCAGTGAGGATGTGCCCGAGAGGATGGAAGTTGCCGCCGGTGAAGACACTCAAGAAGTATTGCTAGTTTTGTGTAAAAGCATTCGATTTTTTAGCAAGTTTGCGTAAAAGCTTCTGTTGTTGACAAATCTTAAAGTTTTTCTTTGTAGCTCTCCGATATCACCGACCATGAGAACCGATCAACCAGAATTACGTCATCAACCAGCCTTGTGATTGCCACTTGGATCAAGGTTATCTCAGTTACAGCTGTTTTCCACTCCCTTCCTGTCCTCTTCTCGCCAACACAGAAATCGTATGATTGACAGGAATTGGAGTAATCAGCTAAATTGACCGAGAATAATTGTCCGGTTTATGCAGTACCAATGCGGGACTGCAGTTTTGTTTCAGATCTATAAACTATGAATTTCTCGAGGGTACCGGAGTTCAAATTTCCTGTATCGAAAAAACTGAAATCGATATTCATCTAGCGCCCTTTGGCACTCTCAGTCACTAAGTATGCCATCCTGTCCCATGCTGAAAAGGCAGCGGTTTTCAAATTTCATAGTTTTATATTCAGTCGTAAAGCAAGACACATATACTAGCATACACATACGTCATACTCTTGGTACATAAGAAGCAAAGCACAAAATACGCAAAAGCAAAATCATCATGGCAGAGTAAATCACTAGCGACGCGCACCGGGCTGGCCCGTGCGATCGTGCGTTTTTGCAACATTTCGTGCCGTAATAAAATACTCGGAAACCCAGTAGTTAGAAATGCGTGATATACTGGTCCTCGAAGTTTGGGAAGTTAATTGTCTACGCGGTATTTGGACAGGGAACATTTCGTTGAAATTCCAGCTTTCTGAATTTTCTTCTTGAGTTAGCAATTTTCCTGCCAAAAATATTCACGAGGCCGTACATGACAACCACGTACGCCCGGGGGGCTGGGTTTGATAAATTTAAGCCGCACATGGGCTGGGAACATTCCCGGGCTTTTTTGGTTCCCGAGTAAACATTTCCGCGCCAAAAAATTTCACGGGGCCGTACGTGAAAACTACTCGCACTTAGAAGCTGAATTTAATAACTTTAAGTTGTACTTGTGCTGTGAACATTCCCTGAAAATTCCAGCCTCCCATCTTTCTTGGT